ATATTTAAAATATCATATATATAACCAATACCACGTAGTCGTTGTCACAATGAATACATACACAATTTGAAGTAGGATACAAAATCTAAATTATTAAAAAATGACGTGGTAAAAGCGTCTGTCATCATTTGATCTTTCTTCGCTAAGTTAATATAACCAAATGAACTCAATTGAATTTTTAAAATTTACAGTACAGGTATGGTCGTTGGTAGATGGCGTCCTCGAGTTGGCTCCTCCTTCGCTAGCAGCGGTGGCACTGTCCATTTGTCATCTCAGTTTATTAACCACCCGCAATACAATCCCAGAAATGAAGACAACGATATCTCAATCCTAAGAGTCAGCTCCAAAATCCAATACATCCCTAATACTGTTGCCCCCGCGTCTATAGCTGGTGCCAATTACAATCTTGCCGACAACCAACCCGTATGGGCCATTGGATGGGGGCGTACAGAAGTGAGTATAATTTTTTTAGATTATCTTTTTCCTTTATTTTAATACTTATACATTCATCCGTGAAAAGAAAAAGTAAGTAATAAAAAAAGGATTTAAACTTTTGTTCTATTTTTTCTCAGACTAACGGTCCAGTTTCTGAGCAGCTGCGTCACGTTCAAATCTGGACCATCAACACAGTCGAGTGCAGACAGCGATGGGCCATTAGAAATGCGGAAATCACCAACAATATGATGTGCTCCGGCTACTTGGACGTCGGCAGTCGCGATCAGTGTCATAGTGATTCTGGTGGCCCTCTTCTGCACAACAATGTCGTTGTTGGTGTATGCTCGTGGGGTTACCCATGTGCTGATCCCTTCTACCCTGGTGTCAATGCTCGTGTTTCTAGTTTCCAACTGGATTGAGGCCAATGCCTAAGACAATACTTTTATCATAAATGGACTAAAATAATCTTATTATTATTATTGAAATTTGATAAAATATCTTAAATATCTTCCTAAATTGAAAAAGCTTAATGAGTGAACAAATCACTGATTTAATTGTTCAATCTCTTAATAAATACTGAGTCAAACAATCTCCTATAGTCGTAATTCGATTAAGTTTTGTATATTTGGAAACAGTGTCTCTAAAGTCTCGCAATCGTGGTCCAGGGCGTCTACTCTCAAAAGTTCTTGCATTTTCGCAAGACTACAATCAATAGAAGATTATGCAAGAGGTGCGTTTTTCTAATAAAAAAGCTGACTAATTGTTTGTTGTGTAACACGGAAATCTATTGTATCGTTAATTTTATTTAAAGTAAACAGTGTTTTACTTTTGTAAAGTAATATCTGCCTGTAATAAAGGTTTAACACTACACACTAGCGAAATAAGCGACTTGTCAACAACAACAAACATCAAAAATTGAAAAACTAGCGAGCCGACACGCGACGCGGCACTTCGTCTACTCGCATGTGGACACATATTATAACATTACCTAGTTTATTAGCTTTTGTGCGGGTTTAGTGGTTTATTACTTTATTGTCGTAAAACTACTCATTCACCACAGCCTTATTTCGCAGAGAATACTACGAAAATTGTAAATAATCTTTACTTTATTGACCTTTAAAATATAGTATAACTAATTTTTCGGTCGCTTGGTTGGCCTTCACAATATCTACGGCTGTATGAACACAAAATATATCTACTTTATTGCATTGTCCTAAAATCTGAACCACTGTTATTGTCACTTTTTATAAAAACATGGCAGTTTCATGAGCAGGTGCAAGGCTCGCAAGACTCTTGCCGCAAAACTGAAACTAAGACTGATTGTGCAATATCAAGATCAAGACCCATGACCAATCACTGATCAATGATCCTTCGTTTGCATATAAAAAAATTAACTGCGAAATTCAAATGAAACGAGTTATAAATTTAACTGCATCTTTAAAAAGTATTTTGAAAATAAATAAACATCTATGAACAATTACGCGAAGGCATTATCGAATATGGTTTATTCAGTAACGTCAAACTATAAATAAAAATTTGCAGAAAAAATTTATATCTAACAACAAAGTTTTCAGCAACACGCTAAAAACTCTACTACTACTCTTTTCTTATGATACAAAGTGATGACGGGACGAACAAGTCGTGCGCCTGGTGGTAAACGACACGCCTACGCATGTCCATAGCAATTGCTGTGCTATTTAGAGCTTTATATCGCCAAGATCTGTGGGACACTGCCATAATTTTACTAGCATCCTTACCCTTCAAAACAGGAACTCAGTAGTACTCACATTGCTGTTTGGCGGCAGAAATAGATAAGGTCGCAGTACTTTCCTGGACAAACTCTTTGACAAGGAACTCTAATGCTACTAAATACTATTACTCGTAATCAATTTATGCGTAGCTTGGGTTCCGAATGATTGTGGTATTTTTGATAGGGTCTATACCTACCTAATATACGTCGCCACCGCCCTATACATAGAAGCGATCCCACATATTATATTGCTTTTTTACAGCTGTTTGAACTTTTGTTATGTTGATTTGCCAATAATATTTATCTCCCATAATCATGAAATTCAGTAAATCGTGAGTTTGTTAACAAATCGTCATATTCAATATTTTTTAACAATTCATATTTGTTATTTTATCTAGTGTAATGTAAATCCGCTGCACACATTTGGGTACACGGTGCACAGATCACTCTCGCCAGCTGCTGATATATACACCAATACCAACTGCTCAGGTCCGCTACGTGCACGCCAGTGTGAACAAGTCTATATATAGGTAGAGAAAACTTTCATATCTAATAAAAATTTAATTACGAAAAATGAATATTTATTTTTATTTTTGCGAACATTGAGAGTGATCAGAAGTCAAAAGTAACTATGTCACACGAAAGAGTCATAAAAATAATACAAACTAAATGAAACAAATACGTACAAGTATGAGAAAAATTTTGTAACTCTCTTATTTAAGCATAAGAAATTGTCGACTTTTTTGCTTTGTAGAATCTTTTAACGTCTCTCCGGGAAAGTTGTCATTTTGAATATGTGGTATAGTACATTTTCGTTAAAATAATTCATTGATTATGCTTTTCCATTTTATCCGAACAGATTTACATCAATCCGCTTTGTTTATTTAATTTGTATTTCCCCATTCGTAGCAAGATTTTTTTTATAATATAAAATGACGAGACGAACAAGTCGTGCGCCTGATGATAAGCTACACGCCTGTCCATAATAGTTGCAGTGCCACTCAGAGCTTTAATTCGCGGAGATCTGTGTGGCACTGCCACTGCACCCGTCACCCTGAGACATAAGTTGACAAATCCCAAGTGCCTGTAATTACACCAGCACCGCTACCTTCAAAACTGGAAGTAAGCAATGTTGACATTACTGCTTGGTGGCAGAAATAGGTAAAGTGACTGTATTTCCCTGGACGAACGATATACTTAAACAGAACATCTACTTAGCTTTTGTTATACTTATACCGGGTGTAAACCTATAACTCGTTACTCCAACCAACGTCTTAAGCTGTGCAAGGGTATCAGTGCCTTAGGTGATAAACCCAACCATAATCATTAGATTATTACCCACCATCGTCATGTATGCCATGTGCGAGAGAGCGAAGTACGTCACCCCGTCGCCCGTTAGTTTTTCGATTTTTGACGTTCGTTGTTGTTGATCATTCGCTAAGTTCGCTAGTATTTTGTGCAACGTTTTTATTACAGATAGATATTGTTTTTTAGGAGTAAAACAGTCCTTACTTTCATATACGAGTATATTCATCGATACTTACTTACTTACATCACTCAAGTATCGACTTGATAAATTGTTTATAGCCTTTTGTGTTATAACTATTTATCAATATTTTTGTCAGAGAGAATCGAGATTTTGATACCAACACTAAGAAACGTCTATCAATATTGAAACTGAACACCGGTTAACTAACCGTTAGTGTAAGTATGTCAAAGTTGACGTAACTTCAATAAGCAAGGGTATCGCAGACTCTTGCACAATCTTGTATTGGTAGCAACCTTGCGAAAATGGAAGAACACACGATTGCAAACCGAGAACGATTTTAGGGACACTATTTCCAAATGTATAAAACTTAATCTAATTAAAACTATAAAAGACTTTTGTCTTAGTGTTTATTAGGAGATTAAATCAGCGTTTTGTTCACTCATATAACTTAGAAATATATTTTATCAAAGTCCAATGATAATAACAACACATTTTTACGGCCATTCTCACATTCGGTATTCTCAGCCTAATTACCGTAACCATTTCGGAGTCCTCAGCCTAATTACCGTAGCCATTGTTTTTTCTCGCTTAATATACCCATTATTATTGAAATATGTACAACTTTAAGCTGAACTATCAGTTTATCCAAAGGGCATAAGAATAGAGAAAGTAGTTTTGAAGTTATTAAGAAACAAATATTTAATGGAAACAGTAATTACATCTAATTACCGTAGCCATTGATACGGTAATTAGAAAGTTCAAATATTTTTTTAAAAAAGCTACTATTTCTGACACAGCTGAATTATTATTTGTATATTTTGCTACGTTTGGTTTATTTCTAATGACACAAGTGCCATTCAAGATTTTTTGAAATAAATTTAAAGTAGGTTTTTTATTATTTGGTTAGTGGTAATAATTAAAAATTACTCCAATTCTGTCTTATGATTAATCACAGCTGTTAGAAGAACAGTCTAATAATTTACATTTTGATTACTATTTCTATCGATAAAAAACCTTAAAATTGAAAAGAAAAATTATATCGGTGTAATTCATTACAAAAAGTGAAGAAAATTAAAATCAAAGATTTATATTTTGTTACTAGTTCTTTAGAATTTGTGTTTTATGTTGTCTTATAAATGTTTAAACTTTATAATTACCGTATCCATGGCTACGGTAATTAGATCTAATTACTGTTTCTATAAAATATTTGCGGCTTAATAACTCGAAAACTATTTTGTCTATTCCAATGCCATTTAGACATATTGATAGTTAAGCTTAAAGTTATTAATATTTCAATGTTATTGGATGTAATAAGCTAGAAAAAACAATGGCTACGGTAATTAGGCTGGGAACACCGAATGTGAGAATGACCGTTGAACACTTAATTATTATAGTCCATTTATGGTAAAAATACTATCTTAGGCATTGGCCTGAATCCAGTTGGAAACACTAGAAACACGAGCATTGACACCTGGGTAGAAGGGATCAGCACATGGGTAACCCCATGAGCATACACCAACAACGACATTGTTGTGCAGAAGAGGGCCACCAGAATCACCATGACATTGATCGCGACCGCCGACATTCAAGTAGCCGGAGCACACCATGTTGTTAGTGACTTCCATATTTCTAATGGCCCATCGCTGTCTACACTCAACTGTGTTGATGGTCCAGATTTGAACGTGACGCAACTGCTCAGAAACTGGACCATTAGTCTGAGAAAAAATAGAACAAAATTTGAAATCTTTTTATTACTTAGTTTTTCTTTTTACGGATGATTGTATAAGTACTAAAATAACGGGAAAAGATAATCAAAAAAATTATACGCACCTGTGTACGCCCCCATCCAATGGCCCATACGACTTGGTTGTCGGCAAGATTGTAATTGGCACCAGCTATAGACGCGGGGGCAACAGTGTTAGGAATGTACTGTATGTTGGTACTGACTCTCAGGATTGAGACATCATTGTCTTCATTTCTGGGATTGTATTGCGGGTGGTTAATGATCTGAGACGACAAATGAACAGTACCACCGCTGCTAGCAAAGGAGGAGCCAACACGAGAACGCCACATACCAACGACCATACCAGTGCTGAAAATTAAAAAATAATATTACATTGAGAAGAGTCTTGTAATTGGTAAAATGACTTGGTGAAATAAATGAAACATTTTATTAAATTTGGCCAATTTCTGCTCTCATTTAATTAAGTTAGGTTCTTAAAATTATAATGCACCGTTGTATGTTCAATTATTTTGTTACGATTGATATTAATTTACCCAAGAAAGACCAAATTAGGACAGATGACGCTTTTGTCACGTTATTTTTTAATAATTTAGGTCTTTCATCCAGCTTTCATCGTCCAGCGCGTCGAAAACTCGCGCTGGACTGTCATAGCGTCGAGGAGCGTCTCTGGGTGGCGGATAGGGGAATGGCCGGTAGTGTACTACCTATGCCTACCTGCCTAGCTATGCTGCCCGTCTAAGTCCGATGGACTCGCTGACCAACGAGTGGTGAGGTCCTCCAACAACATGGGTGTTGTGCGGCGGGCTAACACTTCGCTCACATAAAACTAAACTGTTACAAAACCGACAGAAAAGTAATAACGATCCGATCCTTTAAATAACGACCTATGGCATGGACATTTGGACCTTCATTTGGCAACGTGGAATGTACTCAGTTTGTATAGACCGGCAGCGCTGTAACAAATTAATGAAGAACTGCAACGATACAAAATCCACATTGCAGCACTACAAGAAATTCGATGGCCGGACCAAGGAGAGTGTACCGTAGAAAATGGTTCATTACTACTATATAGTGGACTACGTTAAACATGTGCACGGCACTGGCTTTCTCGTGAATAAAAGAGCAGTGGGCAGCATTCTCAGATTCTCCCCAATATCAGAGAGACTATGTATGATTAGAGTCAAAAGTAAATTTAATAATATTTCAATAATTAACGCATATGCCCCAACAGAACTAGTAGAAGATAATGAAAAAGACCGGTTCTATGAACAGCTGGAGGTGGTGTACGATCAATGGGGGATTTGATGACGTGAAGGCCGGGAAGAAGCGTGTTTTTTTCCCACTATTACAAGACATAGTAAACACGCAAAGTCGAACGATAATGATCTCAGGCTAATATCTTTTGCATCGGAAAAGTCCATGTCAATCAATAGTACAATGTTTGCGCACAAAGACATTTATAAAAGTACCTGGAAATCGCGTGATCTGTGAACCAAATAGATCATATACTGACAGGCAATAGACATAAAAGCATAATACAATATATAAGGACCTATCGAGGTGCAAACGGCTATAGTGACCATTATTTAGTAGGCGTCAAAGTTACGGTGAAAATAAATCAACGATATTCAGTGAAAAATTTAGAATGGAACCAGCTATAAATACAGACAGTTTGAAAGATGAGAACATACTACAAAAATTTAGTTTAGAATTGAGTAACAGATTTAAAGAATTAGATAACAATGGAGAAATAGACGATGATTGGGAGCAAACTAAACGCATAGTAAAAGATGTGGGAGTCAAAGTACTGGGTATAAAAACACGCCGAAAAAAGAGGAAATGGTGAACGAAGGAATGCGAAACATGTGTGAAAAGGAAGAGTGAGTATAGCATATTGGCTGAACAGGATAATAGATGGGAAGTAAGATATAAGCCGGCTCTAGGAGAGTACAAAAGGACAGTGAGAAAAGCAAAGAGGGACCATTTAACAGGTATCCTGCGGAATATGGAAACAATGATAAGAGCTAATGAATCCAGGAAATTTTACCAATAAATCAGAACAACAAAAAAGGGTTACCAACCAGCTGTTCAGCTCCTAGTAGACCACGAATATAATCTTGTATCGGATCCGGAAGTTCAAAAGAAAATGTGGCGTCAATATTTTCAAGACCTCCTTTTTTCAAGGCCAGTGAATAGCTAAATACCTATTAATATCAACGAGGCACGTGACCCTTGTGAGGAACCCCCGGCTTTTGAGGAGGTGTGTTTAAGAGGAGGTTTTGAGGAGCTATGATGAGACTGAAAAACCATAAATCTCCAGGAACAGACAGCATAACAGGGGAGATATGAAAGTATGGGGGCGGAGTGGTGCAGACCTATTTGTATCAGCTAATACGAAGAATCTGGTAAGAAGAGCGACAACCCGCCGAGTGGAACAAGGGAAATATCTGCCCGATCCATAAGAAAGGAAGTAAAAAAAGTGTTGCTCTATTGGAACCTTGCACAGGGCAAATCTTGGACGATTACCAGCGTAGTTCCCGCAAGAGTCGGAGTACGGTAGACCAAATGTTTCTTCTCAAACAGATCATGGAAAAGAAGTGGGAGTACGCGCAACGCGTCCATTGCTTGTTTGTCGACTATACAAATGCCTATGACGGTGTAGACACTGACATCTTTTCATATACCCGAGAAATTTGTGACAATAATTAGGGCCATCACTGGGTTAGCAAAATGAAAGTTAGTGTGAGAGGAAGGCTCACACAGGAGTTTGAAGTAGTTACTGGTCTGAAGCAAGGTGACGCGTTATCGCCCATTCTGTTTAACTTGGTTCTCGAATACATCATCCGAAAAGTCCTATTGATTGATGGTGGAATAGAGTTAAACGGACCGCACAAGGTAACAGGGTATGCTGACGATCTGGCACTACTTGGGCAACGCGAGTCAGATGTGAGGAAACTTGCTGAGGAGTTGGAGAGAGTAGGCGAACTGGTTGGTCTCAGAATCAGTCGAGAGAAGACGGAATACTTACATATGAAGCTACAAGTGAATGGTACGACTTATAGGGGCGTCGACAAATTTAAGTACCTGGACTGCACTATTACCGACACAATAAAAGGGAGGATGAAATCGGCATTCGCATAGTAATCGCGCTACGATGGACAGCAGCCCTTCACAAAGTGTTGGTGTCCAAGTTATTAGTAACTAAGCAGGACTACAAAGGTTCGTGTCTACAAAACAGCAATTAGACCAATCTTAATGTATGAGTGTGAAACATGGACACTAACGCTGAAGGAAGAACACAAATTATAAGTGGTAACGAAAGATATTTCGAAAGATTCTAGGACCAATCAAAGGAGAATTTGGGAACTGGAGGGCCAGATTCAAAAGAGAGATAGAAGAACTAGTGTCTGAGCCGAACATAATCAGGGAAATAAAATCTGCTCGAATTCGCTGGCTAGATCATGTGGAAAGCATGGGAGACGATCGAGATGCCAAAAGAGCGTATTTAAGGCAACCTACGGACCGGGGAAGTCGCCAAAGACCTAAAGGAACTAAATGTGTCCGAATGGTCGGAATTGGCACAAGTCCGACAGACATATATTAAATATATACTTAAATAAGTACTTACAGCCAAAAGCAATGGGCAGCGGTGAGCACGGATCTCTGGTTAAGAATAGAACCACCACAGCTATGTGCGAAGTTTGTTTGTGTCGGAGAGTACAGCATAACAACGGCATATGGATATTGGCTGATGGTGGTCACAGATCCACCGACGATTCTGTTTGGATCCTGATGTTCCACATTGGTAGGACTGGCTGTGCAATCGTAAGATTTCGATTAAGGTAACTTCAAAATACGTAAATATTCTTTGGAGTTGTTATTTTCTGGCAGATAAATATAAAATATTCAAGTTTTATAAGCTGTGTGTCCAGGTAGACAGGTGTGCAGTAGGTGTAAAATATGAACACTACATATTACACTTCTAATATAAACCATGCGATGCTAAGGAAGTAATATTTCCATCGCAAATGGGTTGGTAGACACAGGCATGGGAGTTTGAGTATGTAAATATCCCACAACCCATTGAATTGATTCAAGTTTTATGAGCAATGTGTCCAGTGCAGTGGGTGTAAAATATGAACACCATAGGTATATTACACTTCTAATATCAAATATGCGAAACTAAGGAAGTAACTTTCCATCGCAAATGGGTCGTAGGACATGTACATTCTTAGACTCCCGCGCTTGTGATTGCTATGACTCTAGCTAGCATTAATATTAAATTTAAAAAATGCAATTGTAATATTTCTATTTCAGATACATTAGCATTGTTGCCCATTGTAATATATTAATGTGGTTTACACATGTACACCAAAATCAATGCGAAAATTCGGAAATATATTTAATTAAAGGCCTCTATTTAAACATTAACAGCGAATTGAACGCCTTTTGTGCCCAAAAGAACAAAAATTTGATTAAAGTTGTGAATTACTTACTTATAGCTACGGCCAAGCAGGCAACTAATACCACCGCTACACGCATGTTTATAGCTAGTTTCAATTTTGGAAATAAGTGTTTACTAATGAAATTGCTGTTTATATTTTTACATTTATGAACAGATATAATTTGTAGATAAAGTTTATCTTCGATTAAAATGTCTCTGTAGTTTTAATTCTCAAATAATTACGTGGGTTTTCCATGTATCGATTACAAATAACGATTATTAGTGTTCGATAAAATGTAATCGAAAATTTAAATTACCCATTTCAAACAAATTTTCAAAAGTATATTTAAAAAAAAATTATCTAGCTAAGCTTAGAAACAACCTGCTCAGTTCGACTATAGATCTTTTTTCGTGTTCGTGTCTTTGGAGTTTATGAACAGATTTCAGAGATCCTTGGGGAGTCACCACATTTATCGACACGGATTCGCCTTAAATCGGTCAGATAAATCTATAGCACCATGTAATAAGAGCGAAAAGGACGTTGACCGTTTCGCTCGAGGAGGACGTTGACTCTTTGACGCAGAAGCGAAACGTGCAACGTCTTTTTCATACGTATTGCAAAGACAAAAAGATTTTTCTAACCGGCTTAGTGCGATTCCATGTGAATAAATGTGGTGAGTCGCTTATGAGAAAGGGTAAAAAATTTACATACAAACCTTCATATAATAATGCCACGTGACCATACGACTAAAGTAATTTTATCACATTAAACTCAAAAAATAATACGAAATATTTGAAACAAATTATGTAATTATGTGAAATTTTATAACTCTTATAACTAAACATGAGAAATTTATTGAACCATTATTTCGTTGATACAATTTTTAAAATCTCTTCGGAAAAGTTGCCATTTTGCAGATGTGGCTTAGCCTTATAAGGCACCATGTAAATGTACATAATATGTGATTCTAACGCAGTCAATGTTGTCCTTGTGATTACGAGAACGCCCTGTCTACGTTGTATTGAAAACAGCATTCAAATTTCGCGCTATATAATATATTTTTTATGATTATATAGTATCTACTAAAATACATTTTTCATACAAAACTCAGGCCATACTTGCTTGGGCTTGATACATATAATTAGATTTAGTATATTGTATTATATTATATTGGGCGTTCAGCGCTTTTACTTTTATTAGTATATTTTTGTTTAAATAATTCCCGGCTTTCGAACAGATTTACCTCAATCCGTTTTCTTAATTAGTATTTTCCCACTCATAGTAAGATACACCTTAACAAGCCATTTAGTTGCTTCTTGATATTCCACAATAACGCCCGCTTTGTTTTTGTTATACTTATACCGGATGTAATTAATTCTATTGCTCGTTACTCCAACCAACTTTATAAGTTTTGCAAGGGTATCAAAGTCCCAGGTGCTAAAACCACCCATAATCTGATAATGATTATGATGTTTGAGGCTGACTCATAGTTGGCGCGGTTGGTTCCGCCGAGACCGCATGATGTCATCATTATATACTTTTGAAATATTTCTTATTTTAGTGCCAATTTCATTTAGACTTTCGCAGGGTATTAGTTGAATTCCTGTGATATTTTTGTTTACGAGTACATTGTGCGAAGACTCTACTTTTTGTCCAAGCATTTTCTTTTTGTTAATATTTGTAACTGTCCTTCCTAGCGTATATATTTTTGTTTTAGCCTTTTCCTTAATTTTTTTTTATTTTAAGGTAGGCAGCAAACAAGCATACGGCCCGCCTGATGGAAAGCGGTTACCGTCGCCTATGATCTCCTGCAACACTAGGGGTGCCACGAGCACGTTGCCGGCCCATTAGGACCCTTCTCAAACCCCTTTTGAAGGACTCCATGCTGTATGCTGCCTCTGAAACCGTAGAGTACGAGATCGACTCGGTTCCAGAGTGTGAGGATGGACTTCCTGCCGGTGGCGAGCGGTGCGATGATAAAACGTTGCTGTTGGCATCATGTTAAGCAGTTCTTCAAAACATTCGCCATTGTACAAGCGATAGAAAAGGCATAGGGAGGCAAAGTCTCTCCTCCAAGACAGTGGTTCAATAGCCTGTTCCAGCTCCGCTAGTAAAATATCATATTTGCCTCAGAGATAGCTCACGTCTTGTTTTCTGAAATCCAAGTTATGTGCATACTGGGACGAGCAATGAACTTATTTAATGTGCTTCAGTTTTGTTTTTTATATTATACCTTGCAAAAATATTTGAATGGTTACTAAAAGTACAATTAATACGAACATATAGAGTTATTTGTAAAATACTAACAACCTTGCAGGACTGTATTACTAACATCATAAACAACAACTTTTGTTCCAACACTTTTAATAATTCATCAGATTTTCTTTAGTACAAAAATAATAATATTTAAATAGACCACTCTAAACGATGATAAAGCTGTGTAAAACCTTGAATTTCAGGTTTTACAAACCTATTTTATACCGTAGAATTTACTAATCAGCTTTGTTAGTCAAATAGTTCTCTTAAAATCCGCTAGATGGCATTGAACCTTTTTACTTAATTTCTAAATATGATAATGGATATGATAATGGTAACTACTTGAACTAAATTTTATTTATGTGTGAGAAACATCTGAAGTGTCGATAAGTTTCTAGGAACTGGGTCCTTGCGGGAACGACTGCCTGGACCTATCTGATAGTTACATTTTATCTTTTTGCATAACTGCCTCCGTGGCCGAACGGTTGCCATGCCGGACTGCCACGCAGAGGTCCCAGGTTCGATTCCCGGGCCGGGAGAAATATATGTATGGCCTACAATTATTTCTCTCGTGAGTTTGGGTGTAATTTGTGGTTGTCTATGTGTGTGTCCATGGCACCCGCGACACAGGGTTTCCCTAGTGCGGGGCTATGTTGAGTGTGTGCGTTATTTATTATTATTTATTTGTACATGTAGTACCGCCGCCGCCGGTTAGAATTAACTTGGCACCTTGAAAAGTACACGGTATATTTTTTCTGGAAATTAAACCTGAATTTGAACTGGAAGTTTTTATCCAATTTGGTGTCGCCATCAAGTACGAAGTAGAACCCCCTCTTCAAATCTGGCGCCCAACGTGGGGCCTACAAGACCAAGATATTTCATCAAGTACGAAATAGAACGCCCTCTACAGATCTAGAAATTGTCAAACTTGGTAAATGTTTTGTAAAGTCACGAAACAAATGTATTACTTATTATGTTAGTAATATAGTCCTGTGAGGTTGTTAGTGTTTTATAAATAACCCTGTATATGACTATATAAATTAAAATTATATTAACATAAATTAATGAAAACAATAAATAAATTGTATTGAATTAATAATAAATAATTACATTTTACTTATTTTCTATTATTCATAAACAAATAATACAATAAATGCTTTATTTTCTTTAGTTCAATTATGAATATGCTTTCCTTAATTTACAGTTGTACAAATATGAACAAATGTAAACATAAGACAAAGCAGTATTTGTGTAAGGATTAAAATCTCCTCTCCAAATAAAATTTGCACTACACTAAAGGGTCCATAATGCGCTGTTAACTTAGCATTAAGCCTTTTGGATCCTATGTAGCAGTTCCGCCTTCACCTCATCACCTTTCCATCATTGGGCGACTAGACATAGGCTGGAGTAGCACCTCTATATTATACATATTCTATATTCCAAAGATTCGCACGAACCGTTACGCTTCCACATTTATATGGTGAACGGCTATGGAGTGAATTCATTGCCTATATACTTACTTAGTGAATGCTATGACTTGGGCCTTTTCAAGGCGAGAGTGAATAGGCATTATTTAGGTATGCATCTTTAATCGCCGATCTTATAGTCACTTTGCTTCAGGTGAGATGGAGGTCAAATGCGCATTTATTTTATCATAAAAAAATAAAGAATAAATTAATTCATGAAAATTCGGCAATTATGCTCTAAAAAGCTCTTCTCTACTGACCTTATTCCGTTACTTTATTTTCACTGTCGAACTATTCTACATTTTGTTCTTACATGCGAGACCTTATTAGATAAACAAAATCACAAATATATAAGTCAAATAGATTTTGAACTATAGTGTGGGAAACAAAAGTTCGGTTAAAAGGCTGTGCGGTCAATGCGTTGCCTTTTGTATTCAGAACGAATCGATTATCACAATACCGTGTGACTCAATTTAAGGATTAGGATTTCCCTATTTTACATGATGATCGCAAACAGATAACAAAGTATTTATCTAAATTAAAAAAACCCACTAGAAATATTAACACGCTTATCTGTCTATAATTAATTATACGCCATCAATCTTACAATATTTGTACAGAATTCTCAATGTATCTGCTGAACTTGGTATTTTAAACGCTATAATATATTTAACTACATACTTGTGAACACATGAGCTACGCACTATGCCGCCCAAAACATTTGTAAGTGATGTAGAACGACGTACAAAATGTTAATAGTGACGTCATTGTTATACAACATAAATCAAAATATTGAATCCGTAGCGACACGCAGTATCGACATTTCACACGACTTGTGGTGCGTAAATGATAGAGACGCAGACTTCGTGGACAATGCGTATATTATACAAAAAGACGAAAACAAATGTTCATGCGGCTAGGGACCCAACATTGTCTCACACAACATTCATTGCCGAATCTAAAATAGTAGTAAGTAAGGACCGAAACGTCTCAATAACTCGAGAACCTTTTAGTGCCATACAAATGCTATAGCAGTCGAAAGCATTCATTCGTTCATTTCATTGCCATCTAGCGGTCGCGCCACCGCTTCATGGGGACTAATGGCATTAATGCATAATGAAATTAGATAGAACTAATGGCATGTTAAAGTTGTAGTTATTACAATGTTAATAAATATATAAACGAGAAAAATAAACCAATTCTATAAATGTTATCCGCACTGTATTCAAATTTCAGTTATTTTAAAATAGAACTGTTTCCAATTTCCTTCTACAAGTGTTATTAGATCCTACAAACGGATCCAGTGCATAAAATTGTTGATAAAAAACACGCATGATTCGCGTAAGAACACTTATTCATGCCATAATTTACATTCATTTCGTAGTTTGTACAAGAAAAGTTTATAAACATTTGCAATCTGCAAAAGCACGATGCTCGGGCAACTATACATTCACTTAGCCTAGAGACAGCGTCTACTCCGATTTCCTCTGTTCCTTTAGCACAACCAGGAACCCATTCTATCTGCACTAATTTATAAAACAAATTTTGGTGACACTAATTAACCTTTATGAAATCCTATAAACAAGCTTTACTTTCTTACATTATTACTTAAATAATCAAATGTTCAACTACCGTTTCACCAAATATAATAATGACTTTTTAGGAACTGGCCGAAGACAAAAAAAAACATATTTTACTTTGTTGAACCTTGTTTCAAACACATTATCATTATTGATATAAAAGATCGAACAAACACAAAGCAATATCTGACTGGACCCTAACCAGCGTCTGTTGTCTCAACGTGATATTTACTCACGGATAGTACCATGGCAAAAAACCGTGGCCGGTTAAAACCTAATGCAAATTTGCAACGGGCACATAGACAAATTCGTAAGATCGAGCGCTAGCCACGTTGAGACAACAGCGAGTGGTCCGCGTCCAGAATTGAAGGAATTTTTCTTTGTGCTTGTTCGATTTTTGTATCATTGAAAATAACAAACAAAAAAATAAAAAAGATGAAAATAATCATACTTGGTACTTGGTACTTGGTGCAACGGGCTGGTATCCGCAACTCGACGACAAAGCGCCTCTTTTGCGTGAAAATAATCATAACAAAAACATCGTGATATTCAATAAAAATATTATTATTATTTAACATACCACAACATTGGATTACAAAAATACCTTAAAATCTTCTGAGGAATTACTATCCCTGTGGAGTATTATTTATAGCAAAGAGCTTATTTAGCAATGATCAACATTTGTATTTATGTAACATTTTACGGAAGGTTTTCTAGGTTAGTAGCGGTAGATCTCCTTGTGTAAGAGTTCGTCCAGGGAAATACTACCACCATACTTATTTCTGCCGCCAAGCAGCAATGTGACCATTACTGTGTTTCAGTTTTGAAGGGTAAAGGTGTTACAGGCACATAGGGCTCGTCAACTTATATCTCCGGGTGACAGGCGCAGTGGCAGTGTCCTCAGATCTTTGCAATTTAAAGCTCTGAGTGGCAATGCAACTGCTATAGACAGGCGCGTCGCTTAACACCAGGCGCACGAAAGATCTCAAACTACATTGGCGAATTCAAAGCGTTATACAGATACTTACTTACTTCTTATATATACTTACTTCAGTCGCTTACTTAAAAGTTTATTCTCAAAGTTTGTTACTGGGTACGGTTGTGTTACGGTTGCTCTCAAATACAGTTTACAGCTCTTGACTTTGGATAATTTCATGACCTTATTCTCGCAGCCAGAGGAATGATACCTCACTCGTAAAAGTCAGTTTAAGAATTTAGAAAGCGAACTTCTGTTTTCCCAATCTTATTACCATTATTAGACCAGTACTTAGTCCTTCAGCAGAGATATGGTCTACGATATAACGAGCTCGCCCAGAAATGCCTATTCAGTCATACCTTAAAGATACTCGGGTTGTATGTGCTATACTATTTTTAGTTTGGTAACCACAGACACATTTGGTTAACACAGATGCATATGTATGTGCTCAAACAAATAATTTTGGGTTGAAATTGAAATAGTACAGGCCACAAAATCGACTTCTTAAGAGTATTTATCATCTGAACTTCAAGATTATGAGAATAAAAAAAATAAAGCAATAAAAAACATAAACACAAAACACTATTTATAGATGAATTTAATAGTTTACCTATCGAGTTCTTAGGTTTTCGCGATTGTTACACATAGGAAATGAAACTATTTTTCAACCATGACCATGGGACCTTTAAAGAGCCCGAAACGTCGGTTTGTTTGAAAAAACAAATATACGCGATTTAAATCCGGAAAAATAGTTTCATTTCCTATTAATAGTTTGCCGTTTTTAATTTAAAAGCAAATACTTCCGAATACTTTTGAAATAGATAATTTATAGCGATTACATTTTGTCGAACCCTAATTCTATTTTATAACCGACAGATGTAAAAACCCAGGCAATTATTTAAAATTAAGTCTGCTACAGAGATTGTCGAGTTATTAATCGCAGATATACTGTATCAACAAATTATATCACATCATCAGTGTACTATATATAGTGAATAATTTTGCTAATGCATACTTATTATCTAAATCGGAACTAGTTAGAAACATGCGTATCGCGGTGGTACTTTTTGCCTGCTTGGCCATTGCTACAAGTAAGTAACTCATACAAATTTATATTTTGGAACGTTATTTTATAAATACCAATAAAATAATCGGATGATTACTCTAATGAACTGGTTTCCACTCCTTTGATAACTCACAATTTTTTTAAATCATCAATAAGATTTTTAAGTCATTGAATGTCACGATGTTTGACCATCGCGATATTCAATTATTTATGTGAAATTACTCCACTAGTTTGTTATAATTATTAATTAATACATCTACAAAGACCTGCAACAAGCACACAGAAAAATTCGTAAATATGCTAGTTCATTCCGTGGCTTAATTGGCATAGCATCCGCCACGGTTTGCTGGAAGACTTTTTCTAAGTGTTCGAAGTAGTTTCACAAAAATAATTGAATATCATGATGGTCAAACATCGGAACATTCAATAACGTGCTTTCTTAAATGGTATAAACTAATTAGGTTATAAAGATAATCTCAGTACTCCGTGTACTAAAAAAGCCGACCTCAAAAGCACGTGGAATTACATCTATTTGCCAAGTTTTATTTAAATCGGTTACCAGAAAGTACGCAAACCCGGATTTATCACCTAGTTCGCCACTATACTTGAGATAATAAAAATCGGTTCTCATTACTCAAAGTATATTGAGAGAAAAACGCCTTGAATTGGAGAATAGCAAAATCAAGCATTAAAATAATTCTATCTCTATACTATATTCTATCAATGAGTTTTCCATCAATACAAGGAAAAGATACTAACTTAACATGAAGATGATCTATGGTAAAACCTTTGCCTATCCACATAAATGAGAGAAAATATATTAAAAAATATGAATCAATGACGTAAGGAAAAGTAATAATAAAAAGTTAGGGATTGTCTGGATTACAAAAATACTTTAAAGCATGTAGGTATTATTCTGTTGCAGTAAAGCACCTTGAAAGAGTTCATCCAGAGAGGTACTGCCACCTTACCTATTTCTGCCGCCAAGCAGTAATGTGAGCATTACTGCTTTCCGGCTTTGAAAGGCAAGGGAGTTGGTGAAATCACCTGCCTAGTGCCTCTCAGAACTTTGTGAGTTAAAGCTCTGAGTGGCATTGCAACTGTTATGGACAGGCGTATAGCTTACCATCAGGCGCATGACTTGTTCGTCGTTGAATTTGACACTAGATCTCTCTATTTTTAACCGACTTCATAAAAAGGAGGAGGTTCTCAATTCGACCGTTTGTTTTTTTTTATGTATGTTACGCGATAACTCCGGTATTTGTGAACCGATTTTCATGATTCTTTTTTTTGTTGGAAAGAGGGTACCTCCATAGTGGTCCCATTTAATTTCGAAGAAAATCATCCACCTCTAAGAGTGGCTGTTCACGCATGAAGATTCATTTTTATAAATAGCGCCTAAATTTTATTATAAGGAGCAATTATTTTAATGGTTCATTTTGCTATTCTCTAATTTAAGGCGCTATTCTCTCTCAATGGTCTGAGAACCGATTTTTATTATCTCCTGTGTTAAGTTCCGTATAGTGGCGAACTAGGGGATGAATCCGGGTTTGCGCACTTTCCGGTAACCGATTTAAAAAAAACTTCGCAAATACACGTAATTCCACGTACTTTTGAGGTCGGTTTTTTTAGTATTCAGTACTGAGATTATTAAATATATTTATTTCAATTTACGTTGTGCAATTAATTAAAAAAACAATTATTGAAATTTACGTAAGTATTCTTTACACAAAAATAATATGTGTGATTATACATGGCTTTTCTAATAAAATTAACACAAATTGCGATGCACAAATTTACAAAATTGTACGGAATGATGTAATGACCACGGGAAAGAAAATATTGAATGTCTTTTATTTACAAAAAAAGCGAACCTAACATAAATCACCCACAACATGTATATCATCTAAACTTTCCAATAAAAACAAAGGTGTTAGTTAAATAAAACTATTTTTGATTTATGCTATTGTCATTGACTTACAAAGTCAATGGCTATTGTTCTGTTATTTTCCATAGTGCAAAAGATACATAGATTGACATGGACTCATTGTACATGTGTCTTGAATTAGTTTTTCATTAGTCAACCGGTTAAGAAATATTACATAGTTTGAAGTTATTTATAACCTTATGATTACACAGCCAGCTTCGCCGATGTGGTGCGTCGGGACCCAAACAGAATTGTTGGTGGATCATTGACCACAATCAGCCAATATCCATATGCGGTCGCTCTGCTGTACTCTCCGAATCAAGTTAGCTTCTCACAAAGCTGTGGTGGTTCTATTCTTAACCAGAGATCCGTGCTCACCGCTGCCCATTGCTTTTGGCTGTAAGTATTTATTTAATATCAAATATACCCCACGTAACTATTGTCACAATCAATGACTTACATTTTACTTACATTAAAAAAAACCGTGGAAAAAGCGTCATCTATCATAATCTGATCTTTCTTGGGAAAAGTAATATCACTCACAACGAAATAATTGAACATACAACGACGTATTTAAGAACCTAACTTAATTAGATGAGAGCAGAAATTGGGCAAATTTAATAAAATGTTGTTTAATTTTACCAACTACAAGAGTCTAATCAATGTAATATTATTTTTTAATTTGCAGCACTGGTATGGTCGTTGGAACGTGGCGTTCTCGTGTTGGCTCCTCCTTTGCTAGCAGCGGTGGTACTGTCCATTTATCATCTCAGATCATTAACCACCCGCAATACAATCCCCGAAATGAAGACAATGATATCTCAATCCTTAGAGTCAGCTCTAACATACAGTATATTCCTAACGCTGTTGCCCCCGCATCTATAGCTGGTGCCAATTACAATCTTGCCGACAACCAAGTCGTATGGGCCATTGGATGGGGGCGTACACAGGTATGTGGGTAACTTTTTATCTCTTTTCCAAATTTGAATTATCTTCTTAAATTTCTCATTTTTTAAATACTTATACAGTCATGTATGCAAAGAATAAATAAGTTAATAAAAATATTATATATTATTTTGTATTTTTTTAGACCAACGGTGCACCATCTGAGCAACTGCGTCACGTTCAAGTATGGACCATCAATACGGTCGAGTGCAGACAGCGATGGGCCGGTAGAAATGCAGAAGTCACCAATAACATGTTATGCTCCGGTTGGTTGAACGTCGGCGGTCGCGATCAGTGCCAAGGTGATTCTGGTGGCCCTCTTCTACATAATAATATCGTTGTTGGTGTAAGCTCGTGGGGTTACCCATGTGCCGATCCCTTCTATCCTGGTGTCAATGCTCGTGTGTCTAGTGTTTCTAACTGGATTCAGGCCAACGCCTAGAACAATATTTTTATCGTAAATGGACTACAAAAAAATAAATGTCAACTAATATCTTATTGTTATTTTTGGAATTTAATAAAATATCTTAAATTTCGTCTTAACTTGAAAATAATTTATGAGTTAAAAAATAGATGATTTAGTCTTTCAATCTCCTAATAAATACTAACAGTCTCCTGTAATCTTAATTAGATTAAGTTTTATATATTGTAAAAAGTGTCCCTAAAATCGGTCTTGGTCTGTAATCGTGGTCTTATACTTGTATTTGCGCAAGACCACGACATAAATTAGGTTTTGATGCAAGAGAATCGCAGATTCTTGGCATCTCGCAATTATGTAAACCTCTGATGTGAGGATTATTCAGTGTTTACGCTTACAGTTAGTAAACCGATGTTTTGATATTGTTACCTAGAACTATATTGTTTATAGTTAATATTATCTATAATAAATTATTCGATATATAAAAATTCGAAAATTGTTCCTCAAATTCGTGTAAAATGTAACACATAGAATGAAGAAAACGTTTCATAGATTTCTAACAGAGGGCGCTACGGGACAAAAATAGTTAAAAGCATAAACAAAGATTTGCAACAAGCACATGCGAAATTTCGTAGGGGCCGCGTAATCGTGTGTCTTGTATTGGATACAAGCAAACGGCAAACTAGAAGCGAATATTCTATTTTCATACAAATTGATTGCTTGGATCCAAGACAAGATACACGTTTGCGCGGCGCCTTAAGGTCTGTTGGGTAGTTCCGTAGACCAATTGGGAGAGCATCAGCAACTGTATGGTGTAGTTGCTTCTTTGAGTCCAGCTGTGTGGAAGGATTTTTTTTTATCTATATTAATAACATTAACACATTGTCAGTGCGTTTTGTCGATTGTGTTTTTGCCTACCACACTACCGTTTTAATGATTATTATTACCTTTATTATTTTTTCGCAGAATAGATAACGAGTGATTTATGTAAACGATAAAACCCAAACAGAATAAAAATACTAATGAACAGTTTGTTGTCTATACATCAATCTTATCATATGTAATTATTATGACGTCATCATTCTTATATTATTTTTACAGAAAGCCCAAATTGCCTACTAAAATAAGTTTTAAATGTTTTTATTTAAAAGCGGTGGTAGGTTAGGGAGAGAACAGTAACTTCTCGATCTGAGAGTTAGTTGGATCCCTGTGGCAATATGTATGCGTAAGTTTAATTTCAAAGTTACGTACTTTTGTGAATGTTTAATGTCTATACCTCTAGCTAACAGTGAAGGAAAATATCAAACATCATAACGCAATCTGCGTGTCGAAGAAGTGGTAGCAAACCTCCTTGCGAAAGTTTTCTTTTATAGTGACAGGACGATCACAAAGATCTGAGGGGCACTGCCACTACGCCCGTCACCCTGAGACATAAGTTGACAAGTCCCATGTGCCTGTAATGTCACCAGCACCCTTACCTTTCGAAACCGGAACGAAGTAATGCTCGCGTTACTGCTTGGCGGCAGAAATAGGTAAGGTGGCAGTACTTCCCTGGACGAACTCTTTCACAACTTCCCAAGCTCTACTGCTACAAAAAAAATTGTCCAGGAATATACTGCCATCTTACCCATTTCAGTCGCCAATAGGAAATGTGAACATTACTGCGTTTCTGTTTTGAAGGGTAAGGGTGCTGATGAAATTACAGGCACATGAAGCTTGTCAAATTTATGCCACAGGATAACGGGCGCTCTTCAGATATTTGAGGTTTAAAGTAGCTGTTCTGAATAGGCGCTCGATTTGATAACATAAAAAAAAGATTCACAATCCTTAGAAAACGTGTTAAATTCCACATTAAAATCCACAATGTAGTAGTAGGTAACTTAGCGGATTTTGACCTAAATCCTCTTTGAAAGGAGATTCGTGTCCGCCAATGAAACGTATGAAGTAGGTTGTTAATGATGATGATGATGATAGTATTTTTACTTTACACTTTTGCCATTTTTATACAATCAAAGTCAAAGTGAAAATCAAATAATCATTTATTCTATAGGTAACATTTTTACACTTGAAAACGTCTTTTTTTAAACTACTACTCGTTCAATGTACTGATTTGCCCTAGAAGAACGAGCAAGAAACTCTAGGGATTGCTGTTTTCTAATAAACATAAATGCTATGGAAATACACTTTGCATCATAATTGTATGTAATCTAGACTCATGTTGTCTTTCCACACATCTTTATCTGACACATACTTTTCAATTTTGTAATATGACTTTTCAATCAAAATAGTTTAATGTAAGTTTTAAAGTTAGGAAGTGATCATCTTAATAAAGGCTCCGGAATTTTATTGTAAAAACGTATACAGTTCCCCATAAAATAGATAATGTCATTGAACAGATTTTTGCCGATCTTAGGCTCATTGAAGCGAATTTTTGTAACCATATCATAATGAACTTTAGTATGTAACGTACATACTGGTTACGAACCAAAAAACGCTCCTTTTGAGGATTTGTCGCGATCTCGGGAATTTCCACTAACGCTAACATATCGTATCTATGTAGTTTGCCTTTTTTGAACACGTAGTAAAATGATATTTACAGGGTTGCCAGTTTTCGTAAAATATTAAATAGTCATGTAGTTAATGTTGATAGATTTATCGATAGATAGTGAAAAAAGGTAAAAATTTTTGAAATAATATTATTACATTGTTATCATTCATAATTGCGTTATCGTCCTAATTATTATTATTTTGACAGTTAGCCCATTATCTTGTTCTTATTCTAATGCAAATTATTGCTCTATTGTAGACTATAGGTACAAATACGATAAAATATCCGCACAAAACAACAGTGGGTGTATGTAGCAATGGACTCGTCGGCAATGCTGCCTGATATACATTTTATTCTATTTTTATCAGTTTTTTACCTGGTTTAATATTTTTAATTAATATTCAAAAATATTAAAAAATAAGGGATAGTAGCCCTGTAGTTGCTTCTAAATTGAGTGGTAGCTGGACCGACCTCCTGAGGTGGTATTAAGACACATAGGGCGCACTATTAAGTTTCCGGAACTGGCCACTTACATAAACAATATTTAAAAAGTAATTACAACATTTGAAAATGGAACTCTTCGGCTGTAGAATACAGTTAGTTTTATCTAACTGTCACTTGCTTTTACATTGTGGCGTCATTTTAGAAATTGGTTGTCTACATCACCATGGATTTAACTCGTGAAAATTTTCGTAGTATGATTTTCTACGACTGTAAGTGTAATTTAACAGCTCAGCGGAGCTTCGCTCGGCTTCAGACTGCTTTTGGCGATGAAGCAGCATGCCAGACGACTATTTATAGCTTCACAATTTATTTGCAGAATTCAAACGCGGTCATGTGAATCTCAGTGACGAATTTCGTGATGGTCGGGGGACCACTACTGCGAACAATAAAAACATCGATGCTGTGCGCCGTATGACCAAAACAGACAGGCATGTGACAAACCACGAGATTCAGGCATCTTTAGGCATAGGCGTGAGTCGAATACAATCAATACTACACATACATTTGGCTGTGAAAAAGCTGTGCTCTCGGTGGATCCCACACAATTTGACTGAGGCTTAAAAATGGATAGCGTCACTTGGTGCAATGCCATGCTTACCAGATTCAACGAAAGGGCGTCAAATTTGGTGTGGGACATAGTAACAGGTAACGAAACATGGATTTGTAGTTACGATCTCAAAACAAAGCAGCAATCGAGCGTATGAGTCTTTCGAGTTGAGCCGAAATCAACCAAAGTGGCGCGCGTGCAAATCCCTCTAAACGGATGATTGCTTCTTTTTTTAATAAAACTGGACATGTGGCTACTGTTGCCTTGTAGAATCATTGTACCATAAATAGTGATTGGTACACGACCATTTGTTTGATGGAAGTTATTGACAAACTCCGTAAAAATAACCGTAAACGCCGTATCATCTTGCACCACGATAATGCCAGTTCTCACACGGCCAGACAGACAAATGAATTTTGAAGGTGAACAACGTTGATCTTACGAGCCATCCCACGTATAGTCCCGACGTGACACCTTGTGACTTTTATTTATTTCCAAAAATTCAGAACCAGTTACGCGGTCAACGATTTTCATCACCTGAAGAGGCTGTCGAAGAGTATGAAAAATATGTTTCAGACATTGTCACGGAGGAGTGGCATAAATGTTTTCAAAATTGGTTTATTCGTATGAAAAAGTGCATTAACGCTAACGGAGAATATTTTGAAAAACAATAAATTTATTTATGACTATTTGTATTATTTTTTTCTTATTCATTCCGGACACTTATAGTGCGTCACACGTATAACGTTCATTTATAAATTACATACATTAGTGTTTAGTAGCAATACTTCTCGCTAACTTTAAATTAAAATATCATGATGAAACCGGCACGCCGAAAAAGGTTCCCAGCCAGTGCAGTGGCTATATGGTGGACTATAAGGCCCGTGCCCAACAGTAGAATGAATAATGGCCAATAATGATTCAAATAAGACCAGTTCAATTATTTATTGCGAAGCGTAACTAATATTCTGTCGATAGTCGCTTGCAAGCGGGCAACAGTTTTACGCATTGAATTGGCATTTTGCTCGTCTTCAGAAAAGATAGTCTGGTTTGTAAGTTACACAAATGACATAAAATTTAGTATACTTGATCGTCAGCGCGCACGACATTTGATACCTGTCACTTTTCTGATCAGATGGTACCTTTTTTATTATTTACATTACGGGAGGCGATAAGAGACGTATAATATAAACACTTGAAACTCAAGAACCTATTAAGCTACCGTAAAACGAATAATAGGGCGATAAGAGCACTTAAGTAGCTTTTGTTTAGATTACTGTCATGATTGTAATACGACGACTTTATTTGTTAATTTCTGAGTACACGGAACACTTCGGAGAAATTTTCATAGTATTCTACGCTGTAACTTCTAACCACTTTGTATATTCACTGTATTAAGAAACAAAACATATATAAAGATGGCAAGCATTTAAATACCTATCGATTAACACTAGAATGATATGAATGTAATGTGTAACTATTTTTAAAATAAAGTAATAACAGTCACGGGTAGCGACGAAAATCGCGAAAATTTGTGAAAATGGTGTAAAAAAAAACTATAAGTCGCAAGGAAGAAAATTGACGAAACCTATCACAACTCACAATGTAACGACCTAAAAATGTTTTACTTTTACCTCTATTGAATAAAGATATGTGTTTAAGTGACATTTTACTGTAAAGAGTATTTTAATAATGAATAAGATTAGGAAATTAAAATTTTTCTTTTGGATTTAAATCGCGTATGTCTGTTTTTTCAAACAAACCGGCGTTTCGGGCCCTTTACAGGTCCCATGGTCACGGTTGACTGAAACGTCGGTTTGTTTGAGAAAACAAATATACGCGATTTAAATTCGGAAAAATAGTTTAATTTCCTATGTGTATCAATCCCGAAAACCTAAGAACTCGAAATGAATAAGATTTAAAAAAAAAAATCACAAGGTGCCATGACCTCCATTTTCATGACCTTTTTTCCAATAAGATTGTGATTCCAATAATATATCAAATGTTAAACTTTTAACACTATCTGAAAAAGCACATCCTGACGATCATTTTGATAAGTAATAATTACAGAAATTAATCAATAACGTCATCGATCACAATTTATTAAAGTCTTCATCAAACACTAAACGTCAACAATTCCGCTAAACGTCTTTTCACAGTTTTTTCTGTTATAGGGACGCATCATGAATATTTGTTTCTTTATACTAGGATATCGAGTATTTCACAATGAAATACTAGTAAAAAATTGGTGTCAATACATTTGTAACACCAAAATTATTTGTAAAACAGTTCACCAGTCGGGCACTGTAATTTACTGGTAACTATAGTTACTAGAGACGTTCGACCGAAAGTGAACATATTGACAGTTACTGGCAGCTATGGAAGTGGCATCAAGCGACATTGTGTCGCCACACGCACACATTTGAAAACGTAAT